TTTTTTTTTTTTTTTTTTTTTTTTTTTCCCATTCCACTCACTGGGTTTCTAATACTGGTAACCTTTCTCTACAGCTCCCATGTGTGTGTATAAGTGTGTGTGTGGCAGAGGCAGTGGGGGTTATGTGTTTAGGCACTTTTGGCAAAGCCAACAGAGTTGTTATCACGGTCAAAGACAGTGTAGTAGGGACCAATGAAGACATCTCCCAGGATCCAGAGTGGGCCCCCAGGGGGTGGGATGTCCAGGCCTGAAAAGCCACTCATGCAGACGGTCTGTGCTCCTGAAGTAACCTAGACAGAAGAGCGAGAACTTCAATTTAAGCAGGCCGTTCCCTTCCCTCAGCCTTGCAGGTTTGGCAAGAACACCTGCAAGGATGGCTTCGCTTCAGCCTCTCCCAATCTGAGATCCAAGATCGCAAAAGTAACTCCCAACCCACTGCTCCCACGTCTCCAAACCCAGCTCTCCCTCCCTTAAGCACTAAAGCATCGAGTAAAGCTGCACATGACCATACACCTCCCAGCCCACACAGCCCTGAATTAGAGTCATCGGTGAAAGTCTGCATAAGATGGTCCTTGCAAGTTGATTCTGATGGCTTAAACAACAGGCTGGTGGTCTCTGCTATGATAAGACTGGCCTCATGGTACCATAATCCAGCAGGAAAGAGCTACATGTTTGTAGAATGTGATGCAACAGCCTGCCACCCCTTCCTCGCCCATCCTACTATCCCTCATGAGCGTTATTCCTGGGGTCTCATCCCTGAGAGACTTTGGTGAGGTTGCCTGGGTCCATCAGCTATGCCACCACCCTGACACCCCAATCTTTCAGACTTTTTCTCAAGCACCAGCGTTGCTTTGCCTGCTCTTGTGTTTTGGATTTCATGGCTGAAGTTTGAGCAGCAGAGGCAAAAGTCAGGCCTTGGGGGAGAAGCATTAAGTTTGGCAGAAGCTGCCTGGACATACCTTAAGGATATACTGCTCTCCTGTGAGGTCATAGGGCTTCCCTCCTAGTGTTATTGTGATGATAGGCAGTGTTGGCACTTTATCACAGGGGACCAGGTACTGAAATGGCAAGAGTAAAGGCTTTAGATGGGAGCTTCCACACTCTCAGGAAAGAGCACAGTCTTTCTTGGGCACAATCACATTTTTCCTGTGTCTTTCCCCAAACCCAGCTCATCTCAGGGTGCAGGAGAAGCTTGAGCTGGGGTAAATAGGCTGCTCCTTGCCTAGGGCTGCAAGCTGAGGGGCCAGAGGACTTTATGGATGGAGATGGAGCCAAAGGATGTTGGATTCAGCTTTTGGCTCTGCTGAGTCCCAGGATGCAACAGCCGATGTGGCACAGCTGAGGGTCTTTGCCACAGGAGAGGCAGCTGTGGCTCAGTAAAGCCTACAGACATAAACGGGGGCTCATGATGTAATGAACAGACAAAGCCGGTTTCATTAACACTGGCAAGTCTTGGGGATGATGGCAGGCCTAAGCCAGCTGTTGCTGCAGCATGGGGTCTCTGACACTGCAGAAATGCCTTACAAGTGCTCATAATTCTGTGATTTGGGAGGGGTTTCAGAGCAGGGCATTTTTTCTAGAGGGTCTTTATAATCCATGTTCTTCCACAATTTCAGGGAGGAGAGAGAACCTTATGAGATGAGCTTTGATTGTTAAAAACTTGACAGCAAAGGGTTGTCCTTTGCAGTAAATACACTTGTACTGAAGTGCCTCTGGACTCACATTAATGTGAATCCTCGGCCTTGGCTGCAACTCAGACCCCTTCTCTTCCACCTCCCAGAGATGGGTGGCAGCAGTGACCCAAAGCCTCCCACAGTTCATGGGACCTGGGCCTTCTACCATGAGCATGAGCAGAGTGGTGAATGCTACCCAGGGTCAAAAGATGAAGGAGTCCCTGCTATGCCAGAGGCTTTTCCAGGAGTACAGGCTGGGAACGGAGATCAGAGGGAGCAGAAGACCTGTGTCTCAAGAAGCATCTGGGTACAAAGTAGGGTGTAAGAGCAGATGCTGTGATGGCCATAAATCCCCACATTCTCAGCCCAGCCTCACCTCGCCTTTGATGAGTGGTTTTGCACCGATGGCTTTCTGTATCTGCTTCACTTCTGCTTTAGGGCCGGTGATGAGTGAGGTTCCTGTGTCCACGATGGCCTCGCAGCCCCCATCACACAGAGTTGTCCCATTGCCAACCTCCACCCTGCAGAGAGATGCCCAGGCAGAACACAATCATTAGAGGCCACCCAGTGAAGGCTGCAGGAAGCAGCAGGCAAAGAGTTGATGGCTGAGCCCAGGAAGTACACAGGCACACATGGCAGGCCTGTGACAAATGCCCAGGAAGGGCAGGTGCTCAGAAATACTGATGCAGCACCAACTCAGTGCACAGACCCCCTGGCTCCTTGTCATTTGATCGTGATTGAGCAGGTGCCTTGAGGTGTTGCTGCATTTCTGCAGAGAGCCTGGACAGTTCCCTGTGTACCCTGCCTGCTACCTGCACTCCAGAACAAGCACCACAGCTGATAGACAAGGGAGCGAGCTAAGGGCAATGCATTATGGACTTGTATTGTGCTACAGCAGAAAACGAAGGGTTAAAGGGGTGGTGTGACAACTGCGGGCAAGGGAAGGGTTCCTGTACAAAGAAGAGGCATGACAGGAGCTGCTTGGCTTCCTCACCCGCATCACATTTCACAGCAGTGCAGACAAACAAAGCCTTCCAGCCAAGGGTCTGCCACACTTTGCCAACGCAGCAGGGCTGGGGGAAAACGAGAACTAAAACCCTGCGCTGGGGAGGGATGCGATTCCGAGGAAAAGGACACACTCTGATCACAGGCCACTTTTAAGTTCCCATCACGTGGGAAAGCTCAGAATAGACCGTGGGGCTGGCGGACGGCAGCTCAGCCTGCTCTCCTCCCCTCTGCCTCCAACAATGTGTGCTGATTGCTGCGCCGTGCCCTTCACTCAAGGGCTGGCTTCCTGCGGCCTCATCCTGCTCCTCTGGAGCTGTCTGCAAGTCAGCCAGGCAGCTCAGGCCTTGCTAAGAGCTGAGCAAAACTGGGGTTTAACACATGGGGCTCGCCTTGCCTGCACGCAGGACACACTGGCATCTTTCCCCCAGTTCACAAGGATGCAGTAGGCGCTTTTAAGGGTCAAACCATAAATAAAAGTAAAGGATTTTGCAGAACACCTCCTTAAGGCTTCTGCCTCTCCTCCCTTTCCAGAGACAAACAACCCAGGTTGGGATTTTAATCTGCTTTTTTTGGTGTGGATGTGTTGCAGGGACAGAGGCGATTCCTTTGTGGGGAGGATCTCAGCCCAGCCCAGCCCCGGGCATGTGCTGTCTGCACACATGACCCCACGCATGTAGTCTGGTGGAGAGGGGAACTTACGAGTCCATGTGGATCTGCCAGTAAGCCTTGCGCGTGACATTCATCCATCTGAACTCGCCAGTGTAGTACTTGGGGTCGGTCCCTCCCAGGAGCAGCTCACCACCGGGCTGAGCACTGGGGTCTCTGGAAAACAACAACCAAACCTGTGAACATCAGAGGTAGAGTGAGAAAACCCCCCTTAACATCACCCCAAAATGCATGCTGGGATGCTTGGGAGTAAAGCACAGCCTTAGCAGCACTGGAAATGGACACCGAGCTATGTTACATCAACAGAAGGACAGATACTGTGAGATAGGCTGGGCTGGGAAAATGGGAATATTTTGGTCCAAAGCGTCCTGCAGCTTTTCCCCTAGTGCTTTCTCCCAGACACCTGCCAAAACTCTTGGCAGAGAAGGGGGATGGCAAAGGGGAACTGAGCACTGACACAAGGATCCCCCAAATATCTGCTTGTAAAAAGTGCCTGTGCAGGGCTGGACAAGGCTGATGCAGGGTTAGGTTATCTGCACTTGACGCTGTGCCAACCAGCAGCCTTGGAGTGAATTCTCAAGGTTACCATCAGATAAAAGCTCACTGCCAAGCAGATGGGAAGAAATATGGTGATGGGGGAGGGCTGGTGCTTGAACAGCCAGCAGCAGCTCTCTCTGCCCTCCCTGCTCCTGACGTGCTACTTTTTGGGCTGAAGTAGTTCAGAGTCCCTGCTGCAGTGCCAGGAGGGTGATGGGGTGTCCTGGGGGGAGTAGCAGTGGGTGGGAAGGTGCTGAAAGCTGCAGATTATTTCACAGGGGGTGAGAGAGAGAGCATTTAGCCCCATCATTAGTGAAGACTGGAGGGGGGCATGCTTGCCTGGCGGGGTGGCCATGTGGCTTAGGGATTCTGGCAGCAGATTGGGGCAGTGTTCACCCCTCTAAAGGGGACTGCACAAACAGCATGTGATTTCATGATCGCAGTCCTGTTTATTTTTGTTTCTCTTTCCTCTGGAATCATCCTCTCTCTTCATCAGTTAAAAAATCTGGTTGCAGATCTACCCAGCTTTTTACCAGTAAAAGAGCTGCATTTCTACTTCCCTTCTTGTCATTCCGAAGCAGTAAACAGAAGAGACTTTGGCCTGACTGCTCCTGCAAGAAGAACTTGCTGAGGCTTATCTAACTGGGAAGTGCTGGTCAGAGTGTAAAATAGCAGATGACAAGAAGTGCTACTGGGAGACAGAGAAAAGCCCACTTGGCTTGCCCTCGCAATGGGAGGTGTGCCACCAAACCCAACGCTACCTGTTCAGGTAGAAAGAGAACACATTTTTCTCAATCAGCTTCTGTTCCATGATGTTATCGAAGAAAGGGGTGACCTGGTCCACAGAGATCCTTGGGAATGCCATGCCCAGGATGCCGTCAAACTTGGCAGCGATGAATGTCATGCCCGGCTGCTTCACGGCCTCCCCGAAGACCTGATGCTTGATTTTCAAGTTACCGAGCTGTGGGGAGATGGGGAAGGAAGGGAAAAACAGACTGTAAAGAAAACTGACACATGGGACCAGGGTGGTAATGGTATCTCACTGAACACAGGCTGTAGTGTGTCCCTCAGTGTGCTGCCACACTCCTGCCTGCTTTCACTGTTGCATTTGTAGGCAGCTGCTGAAACCAGACACCCTTGTCGGGGGAAGAAACAGGCAACTCTGGCTGCGCAGTGGAACCTCCTGAGTCCCTGCAAGGCCCAGCACACCTTTAAGGGCAGGAGCCTCCCTTTGCTCTTTGCCCACCTCACTCAGCCCTTTTAGCCTTTTGCTGGGTCCTGGCGCTGGCCATGCCATTCTGCAGCTCCTCCTCTTTGCATAGACAGACCTATATCACTTTGTCCCCTCTACATCCCTTCCCCTATCACCTACTTCATAATTTCCTCCCGGTCTGAAAAACTCTTGTGCTGCATTTTTTATCCTTTTCCCCACCCTGGACATCTAAGTCGTCTCTGTATCCTCCTCCTGGGGTGCTGCACCCGTCAGCGGTTGGGAACACAAATCCCTCTCACCTCTGCCCACAACCCCTATGATCTCCTCTACATAAGAAACATCCCTAGGATATTGCTGCATCTCTTGGAAGAGCCACCACCCTGCAGAGACCTCCCGTGGGAGGGGAGAAGACCAGCCAAGAAAGCGAGGTTGAGCCTGAAGCACAAAAATAGCAAGTGGAGTACTGAGAATTCAAAGGTCACCGCTCTTGCCAGCCATGAGAAGGACTGGCATTCCCCACTGGAAAGCTGAAACGCCTTGCAAGGGCAGATCCCCGGAAAGAAGATTGCAGAAAGCAGGACAGCTCTGCTGATGAAGAGCAGGACGCATCTGCTGGCTCCTGGCTTTAGCAGTTCAGGTTTGTGAGCTTCTGGCTGACCACAGGCAATTTTAGCATCCATGCTAGGACAATTTCAGCCTCTCAGCCTGCAGCCAGCAGCCCTGTAGTGAACCAGGCTGGACTGACAAGCTGGCCTCTCCTACCTGATGGCAGATAACGATCCCTGTAAATTACTAATATTCCCCCAGGGCTAGACACTGCAAGGCTGGGATAGCAGTGCTGCCTTTAATGGTATTGGAGGATTGCAGTAGGAAAGGGTGATCGAGCCTTGCAAAAGCTGAAAGCCACAGGGCAGGATGTGGGGTGAAAGAGTACAGCAGCGCATCCGCTCGCTGGCACGTGGTGAGCGCCCCAGTTGTTTGCTGCAGGTTTACAAAAGCCACCACTCGGCACGGCGGGTCCTGCAGCAGTTCAGAAAGTTCAATAAAGCTGCCACTTAAAATAAAAATGCAACAGACTGATAACACTGAGCACCAGGTTTGTTTGGGTAATGCCCTGCTTGCACTTCGCAAGGGGGAGGCAGGTATCTGCCCGGTCATAGGGTCTCAGCAGACCCTGCCTGCACTTGGTCCTCAGCAAGACTGAAACCCAGGACCATCTATAGCAGAGTGCTGCTGCCAGGTGACAGATCTTTGCCTCTGTTGCTCTCCTGGCTCTTGCCCAGACACAGAGCAATCAAAAATCATGATCAGTGGATGGCTGTGTAGTGGTTGCCCTCTAGGACTTTACAGACAGGTGTTGGCACCCCACAGCTCATCTGGCCTCCTTGTTATAGGCCTCAGTCAACAGGCAAGCCCTAGATGGCAAAGGCAGACTTATGAGGTGAGGGCTTCTGTGGCACAGCTTGGCACCAGGGCTTGGGGTGCAGAGGCACAGGGGAGAGGCAAGGAAGAACACCACACTGTGTGGTGTATCTGCACTGCAGTCAGGGGAGAGACCTCATGCCCCATGGCCAGCGAATTCCCTCTGCTGTCCTTAAAGGACATCCCAAGGTCGGGCTGTGATAAAGGGATGAGATGCCTGAGCAGCAGAGGGTTGGCTGAACCTGCTGCTCGTTGGAGAACAAGCAGCACTGGAGAGCACGGTGCTACAGGGCTCCTCCACAGAAGGAGAGAGGACATTTCACGGGAGCTCATCACCCGCTCAAAAAGAAATTCTGGGCTACCTGACAACCAGCACCTTTTGGTGAGATATCTGGAGCCAAGTAGGTCACACTGAAGGCTATTTCAAACGTCTGTATTGCCAGACTACACTTGACTGGGAGCATGCCTATGGCATGCTGTGAATCGGAGGAAACATCTTGGTGTCCAAGCTGAAGGTCCCCAACCCTCTGAGTTGCCCTTGTTCCTGTGTACTACAAGCCTGACACTGCTCAGCTACACATGACAGGTTTCTCTTGCTTCTGCGCAGACAAAAACCAAATGCTACAAGCTGTGCTGTTTGCCAAGAGCCATCCCCACTTCCCAAACAAATTCAGGCACAAAATCCTCACTCTGAGCTGCCAGGAAGTAAAGAGCTAATTAGCAAGCACCCATTAGGGTGAGAATTACAAACCAAAAAAAAAAAGAGAAAAAGCTGCAATTTTCCTTCTGACTCACTTCAGCTCTTGCATTAAGCTGGAAAGTGGCTAAACAGGCCCACACTTTCTAAGGATAGTAAAGTTTGCTGTTTGCCTCTGGATGCAGTGTAAAGGCAATAGCTGGTGCTTCCAGGCCAGGCTGAAATTTCCATGCTGTAAGGATGAGCTAAAGAATGTACCTTGCCTGAGTCACACACTTCAGGCTTCTCTTGGATATTTTTCTTTTGATTCTGATGAAATTGGTAAGGCAGTACTTTTCAGCTGAACCTACGCAGAAACATCCAAATCCCTAGATTTATGTGCTTAATTCAAAACTTCTGCTTTGTCTCTCCCCCCCTTGCAAAGCAAACATATGCTCTTAATGCTGCCAGGAGACCAAGTAATCTGAGAGCATGTGCACCACTGAGGCTCAGCAGCTGGCAAACTCTCACGAGCATCTGGACCAGGGAGGAAGCCATGAAAGGCACCTGCCCTTCACAAAACAGAAAGCTCAGCCTTTGCCCACTGAAAAGGAAACTCTGAGAAGCAACCACCAACAACCCAGCAAACTCAAGCAGGGGAACCTCTCCCCAGGGTGTTACCCTAAGCACAAGTTCTTGATGCGAGACCAGGATGGGGCAGTTAAGAGACCATTTCTAGCCTGTGCTTGGGAAGCTGCCCATGTGGACATTCACTAATGTGTGGATACTGTCCAGGAACAAGCTGGGTACCACCAGCAGTCTGTGCAGTGTTGCTGGTGTGTGCTTGGGCTGGGGAGTTTCTACAGTCATGAGGAAGAGGACCGGAGAGATGGCCAGAAACAATGTTTGCAGGGCACCACGCGTGCAGTCCCTGCTCCCAGCCTGCTGACTTGCAGATTAATACCTTCCCCCTTGTCAGCCTGCCATGGTCATTGTCACCTCCACAGTCATAATCCCCACATCATTTCAAAGCACTTGGAAACAAAGCACTGAAGCATGCTCTATGCGAGCAGGACACTCAAGAAGGGAGACCTGTCGAAATCAAACCCCTTCAAGTGCTCTACCCAACAGAGTCTGGAGCAGCTCGGGGGCAGCTCGAGGCAAGGGCAGTTGTAACTTACCGTGACTACATCCTCACTGAGGAACCCAGTCAGGCTCCCTGTCCCATAGTGGATGGAAAAGGAGGTGCCGTTCTTCACGTAAGTGCTGGATTTAGAGGAGTCGTACTTGTGGTGCAGCACTGTGGTCAGGAAGGGGAACACACAGCATTAGTGCTCCTTGATACCTATGGTTTCCTGATACCTAACCCTACCACCACCCAGCTTATATAGACAAATGGACGCTCAACAATGTGAAGGCACCTGGCTGGCCTGAACCAGCATTTACCAAGCCCAGACTGCTTAACAAAGCATTTCCAATGTCTGGGGAATTATGGGCAGATCCAATTCAGGCTGTTAAATCGGATTTGGCCACTGGTTATTAAAAGCCTAGTGGTTATGTGGCTGGTGTGTCAGGGTGCATTAGCAGAGCAAAACACGTACCCCCCATGTCCTGGAGAATCAGGGTGGCTTTAAATATAGCCTGCTCTGGGCATGAGCATTTTCTCCTCATGGACTTACCTGTTTCTTTTACTAAGACTACTTGAATTTTTTTGTTTGGGATTTTTTTTTTTTTTTGTACAGAGAGGGCTCAAAATATTCTTTTAGTTGCAGAGAAGAAGGGCTTTCCCCTAGTCTAAGCTGTTTTTCCTCTTGGATGGATTGGGAGCTGTAAGATATCTGTGGTTTTACGGCCGGGTAGATTCCTCCTCCACAGACTCCTCCCAAGTCACGAGTTGGCCAGCGCAGCTCCATGACTGCCTGCTGAGCAGCGCAGACGATGGCTGAGGACCAGCTGAGCCATACAGAAACCAACATGCTACACGGGGCCTTCCCTGGCTAGGTTGTCTGGGTCCCAGTTTGGATCCCAGTCTGGCAGGAGGTTAAACTCATGAGTCCTTTGATCCTAGTGCCTCACAAGCCACTGCCTTGAGAAACCAGCTCCCTGCTACACATCAGGAACGCCCAAGACAGACCAGGTCTGGACCTCCCTACCTGTGTCCTAAATCTCACTTCACAGACCCAGAAAGAAGATCTGTCTCCTCTTTGGGCACTACAGGGCCATAGAAGAAGCCAAAATTTCCACTCTACTCCCAGTGAGCACTGTGGAATGCCTTTCATGGTTGCATCTGTTGACTCCACAGGTTTCTCCACCCTGCTTAAGCAGCACAGCCAGTGGCTTTTAAACGGCATTTTGCCATAGCCAGGTTTGACATCTTCAACTGTGGAGGTTTATTGCATAGGAACGCCACAAAGCAAAAAAAACTTGTAGTCCCTAAGATGTTCTCATCTCATTGTGCCTACCTGGCTCTCGTTAATTATAACTTCATAAACATGCATGTACATGCTCTGTGCAGCAATAACCCAGAAACTAGGACAGTTTGTATCAGATCTGGCAGGAGGCTGACTTAAAAAAGTCAGCCTTGCGCAATGGGGCATATAATCTGGGTCTATAATCTGGGGAGAAACATCACAGCCTATGATGCTGTTCCTCTGCTGCAGTGCCAAGGCTGTTGGAGAAGATTTGGCCCTGTGCGTGGATGACTTGGAAGGGAAAAAAAAACCAGGAAGGGAGTAATGAAGAATGGGTGCAGGAGGTTGGGACTGTATTTCCAGTTCTGACCCTAAAGAGCCCATCAGCCTCTGGCAAGCCCTTTCACGCTGCTGCCTCAGTTCTCCTCTTGCAAAGCAAGGATCTGCATTTTTCAGGGAAGAAGATATTGAGCAGTTCTTGGCATCTGTAAACACTTACTGCAGGCGATGTCCATTATGGAACAGTGCACAGACGGCACCCAGAGGTTGGAAGAGCCAGTGTCAAAGATCACAGTGAAATTCTGAGGGGGCGTCCCAATGCCGATTTCGCCGAAATACTGGGCCTGCAAAGGAGAAGGAAGCCATGAGCAGAGGAAGCTGGCTAAAAGCACGGATTAAAGATCAAAAACCTCTTAGGGTTGAATAGAGGATCAGTTTCTTATCTAGACACTGCCCGCCTCTTGGTTTTGGCACTGATGAGCTCCCAGCCTTTGTTCTCTGAAAGGGAGGCTCCCCTTCAGTGTTCACAGCTCATTACAGTGGGTGTGAAAAGGATAAACCCGGGACAACTGGGATGGGTGCGTGCGGGGGAGGACATTTGGGGCATGGAGACAGGGAAGAAGAGAAGAGAGAAGGTCTGCAGGCTAGCATGAAGTTCACTGTGAGGAAGAGAAAAACGATGGAAGGAAGCCAAGCAAAACACCTGCATTATTGAAAAGCTGAAACTGGCTGGGAAGCAGCTTTGCTGGTGGGTTCTCAAAGGAGCTGTGGGTTGCAGCGAGCAGCAGCTCTGCCCATCATGGGTGGAGGTACAGCTGCTGGGGTTTGTGGCGTTTGCTGGTTAGCTCCGAGGTAGGGAGGAATAAACAACTGCTCAGTCATGGGACCTGGAAGACTGGAAGAGTGGTGGGAACAGAGGGCATCAACAGCATCACCAGAGGTAGATTTAGGCCTGCAGGGTGAAAGTTTGGGAGATACCTGCAGCACAGGTATCTGACGGATACCCCCTCTGCCCTGCAACTGCACCTCTGCTGGGACTGGAAGAAACCTGAATGGCTGAGCTGTTTGCAAGGCATCCCTCTACCTGCAGAGGAGAGAATGAATGGGGAATACTAGGTGGGTCCCCTATTTGGGGCCTGTTTTTATGGAACTATTTTATCCCAGCCCTACCAAACAGGCAGAGGGCTGTGTTGCGCCAGGTGAGCAGCTCGGTCAGAGTCCTGGAGAGAAGGCTGCTAGCAAGGGAAGTCAGCCAGTACCTTTTCCAAACCCCCCATGCACTTAATTAAGGTACAGGGCGAAAACAGGATTATCAAAGCTGTTTACCTCCTGTGTGCTTAGTTTGCAAGGGTTGCTCGCCGAGTAATTAACAATCCATTGCAATTAGCCAAAATGGGGAAGCAGCACTTGTTTTTCAGTGTTTCCGTAATTATTGCCGGGGCTTGAAAATCAACCCCCACTACGGGGTCCCTGTACATCACATACACAGACCCATGAAGTGTCCTAGGGCCAGCATGGAACATACGAGGCACTCTAGGGCGGGTCGTGCCTTTTGGCTCAAGAGTTCCCTCGGTAGCAAAAGCCTTTTCAGCCAGGCTGGGAGGGACCCAAAGGTTCCTTATCTCCCACCACAGGTTGCACTGGTGCCCCTGTGACAAGGGAGAACAGTCCTTCCCTGAGGCGGTCTGAGTTGTGGTTGCAAGAGACAACACCGTGACACAACCGCTAGTGCCCTGGCTTTCAACATGACCAACTGAAACAGAGGTGGCCCTTCCCAGCACAGGACGGTGCAGACGGGATGACAAGAGCCCTTGGAAAAGGGAAGCAGGGGGCAATATCCTGAATGAATGCCCAAATATCTGAGGCTAGCTTTACTCTGACAGCCAGTGCTCACATCTTAGCCTGCCAAGAGCTGTGAAGGTACCCAGTGAGGCACCCAGAAATAGTAAACCCCACACGTGTCTGGCAGCTGGGCAAGGGCAAACTTCATGTCCTTTATCTGGCTTCTCTTTTCACCACCATGAAGGTCCCCTTGCTCCCTAAGCTGCTGAGAAGAAAGTGGAGGTGCAGGGTGGCTTTTCCCAAGGCAGTGTAGAATATGAAGAACAGGAAGTTTCCTGCATCCCCAGTCCTGTAACAAGCTGGCTCCTAGTCTGAGCCTTCTTCCTCTACCCCGTGCTCACTCTTTTATGCCCCAACGCCTCAAGGAGTGGAGCATGATTTTTATGCCCCTGTCTTGTCAAAAGTAGTACCCAAATGGGCTAGGAAGGACTGTAAGTCAGCAGGCCCTTATTTATGGTTGTTAATTACTGACAAAGGGGAAAGGAAATAGGTCACAAACTGAAATGCTCCTGCTTGGGTGGCAGAGGGTTGTTTGCTGTTATTATTATTATAATTATCAGTATTAATATTTTTAGTTTAGCAATGATGGGAAGCACCTTTTGACGCCCACCCACTAAGCCATGGAGGTGCATGAAACTGTCCTATGAGACCAACATCTCTCCCTCCTTTACCTTCCCAGCTGCGGTGGGACAGTGAGGCTGGCATGTCCCACCACCCCCTTGGGATGGGTACCCCCAGAAGCGACAGCCACTTGCCCGACATTGTGCTAGGGTCCACTGCAGCGAGGGGGTGATGGCAGGGGGTTGTTACTCACATCCATGTAGTTCTTCAAAATCTCCGGAGTGGGTTCTGAGTTGGCAAAGCCCAACTTGAACTTGAGGACCTGGGTGAGGGCGTTCACATCTGGGATCTCGCTTCCGACCTCGTTCAGAACCCGCCGCATGGAGGTGAACTTGGTCAGGGGGATCCTATGTGGGGAAGGCAAACACCCACCTGTTAAACGGGTGTGTGTAAGGATGAAGGGGGGGGGCGTGGAAGAGGGGCAGCAGGGCTCCACTGAAAACAGGGGACACGCCAGCACGAGGTGGATGAGGTTTGGGCTCCTGCCAGCATGCCGTGCTGGACCCCCATGCTGTGCTGCGCTCAGTGCTCTTCCCAAAGCCAGGAGGAGTTGGGGTGGCTGCCGAAGGTCACCAGGTGTAGTGGAAGCTGGAGAGAGGCCCCTCCATGAGCAGGGAGAGCTGGAGCCCTTAAATCTCCATCGGGGGGGGGTGGGGGTGGGGTGGGGTGGTCTCAGACCTTCCCCCTGCACCGTGTGGGATTGCTGCGAGAGAAGCCCTTAGGCCCCCGCTGCAGCAGCACTGCCAGCGTCTGTCCCACGTCCCCCGCTCCGCCCGGGCGGCTCAGCAGCCCCCGAGCAACCCCCACGTCTCACCTGATGAGGGCGGCGCAGGACCCGGCCAGGGCGAGCAGCAAGAGGAGGCCGCGGGGCCCCATGGCGGCGATGGCGCTGGCGGTGACGGGGGATCAGAGACTGGAGGGTCCCGAGGCTGAGAGGCCGCGACGCCGCTCCCGGTCTGCCGTCCCTGTTTTTGTAGTCACGGCGGCCCCTCTCCAGGGATTTCTCGAGTCAGCTGACGGTCTAAAATTGCAACGGGCGGCGTCACGTGAGGGCGGGCCGGGCCGGGCCGGGGCGGAGCGGGGAGCGGGGAGCGGGTCCGGGGGCGCCGCCTCACGGCCCCCCCTGCCGGGCTGACCCCCGGCGCCTCGGGCCGTGACTCAGCCCCCGCCGAACGGGAATAAACAGCATGAAATCAGTCACGAGGGGCCCGCCCGGCCGCGCGTGCTCCTTCTGCCCTGACTTTAACTTCCCCCTCTTGGGTGGTTGTGGTTTTTTTTTTTTCTTTCTTTCCAGGTTTTCCGGCCTTTTTTCGCACCCCCCGGAGAGTGGTGTGGGGGGGACGCGCTCCCCAGCCAGCAGCCCCTCCCAAGCCGGGCATGGTGGGGCCTCGGCTGCTCTGGGACCTCGGCCACCCACCGGCAGTCACCGGGGGGGTTCATTCTACACCTCCCGCCCCGGGGGGCCGTGGCAGCCCCCCCAAACCCCGTGCTTCTCCCTGGCCACAGGACACCGCCAATTTGGGGGGAGTCATCCCTCCGAGCTGGAGGTTTCTGGGGAAGATGGGCATATAACTTGGCCACAGCTTTTTTTTTTGTTTTTGGTTTTGGGTGGCACTGGAGGGGTGCCGAGCCATATCTGCCACCCCTCAAAATGCACTGTGGCAGTGCTGGGAGGGCACTGGCCACCATCATGCTGTGGTCAACCACCTCCTGCCCCCATTTGCAGGGCTGAGCATCAGGGATCACCAGGATGGGCTCTTTGCCCCCACCGAGGTGTCACGGCAGGGCTTAGAGGTGCCACGGTGCTGGCTTGGGAGAGCTAATCTCTGCCCGGTTTGCTCCGACTGAGCTTTTACAGAACCACGAGATCTGCTGGAAAAACAATATAAATGAAACCGGATTTACAGACATTTCCCCTTCCAAGTCCTGAGGGCTAGGGGTGCTTTTTTTTCTGCTCCTGCTTGTGTGCTCTTGGGGACAGGAGAGCAGCAGCCTGTGGAATGAGCTGGGCACTGCTGAAGCGGGCGACCCCTGGCTTCGTGGTGAGGTCTCTGTCCCTCTCCCGTCACCTTCACGTTCATGCAACTTCTGGAAAATTGCTGGGTCATGTTGCTGGCACCTCACTTGCACCATCTCCTTCCCACATGATGTCCCTGAGCCTTTTCTATCCACCCATGGCCTCATAAAGGATCCTGCGTCCCTGGGTCCATGCCTGCCACCCCCAGTGTGATCTGTTCTGATTGTTTTTAGGTAACATTCCTGCCTTGGGCTGTCTCTCATCCCACTAGTTCTCCAAATTGCCACACTGCAGTCAAGCTGGTGGGTATCAGGAATCCTGCTGCTTCCCCATGGGGACATGGCTCCCCGCTGGGATGAGGTTTTCTAGAGTGATGGCCAGAGGCATTGGTTCAACCTGGTGGGTCCCGTTACTTCGGCCAGCACCTGCTTCCCTCCTGCCCCTGCGGGCATGTGGTCAAGGCGAGTGCCACTGACCATGAGTCAGCAAAACCCAGCACCCTTCTGGCCCTGCAGCACTGTGTGACTCAGCAAAACCCTGTGTGGTTCTTTCAGGCACGAGACCAAGGCGTAGTGGGTCCCCAGCATCTGGAGCCTGACCCCAGAGGCATTGTTGCTGCTGCTGTGGGCTCCAGCTTGCGGGTTTCCTCCTCTTGTCCCCCTGGGTACTGGCAGCCCTGTGCTGAGTGCCCATAGGCGGGAGTGGGTCACACACAAACTAACCCAACTGCAGTCCCATCCAAACAAATTCACCCTCCCCAAGGGCTCCAGACCCCTTTGCTAATGTGCTTAGCAGACAAAAGGGATAGTCATGATGCCCAGGGCTCCCCTTCACCCCTTACAGGCTTTCCTGGAGCCCTTGGTGCAGCCCATGAAGTACCAGCCCTCCTCCCTGCTCTTTGAAGTGGCTGGGAAACCATAGCTGGCCAGGCAATGCAACTCAGGCCCCAGGCTGGAGCACCTACAGCAGCTTCTCCTCAAGGGTTTCTAGTCTGGCCAGTCTCTGACAGAATCCTGTGGCTATGGAGTTGGGTTCCAGCATGCAGGGATGGGCTGATGAGGATGGCATGCTCCATACCATCACGCATTGCAGAGCAAAGTCTTTAAGCAGAGTCGAGAAGTCTGGTCGCATCTATGTCTGTTTCTTTGATTCCAAGAGATTTAAAGGCAAGCTTTGCTGTTAGCAAAGCTGTTATAAACGAGCCTTTGCTTGAGCTTCATGGTAACAGGGTTTGTGTCCTCATCCAGAGCTGCTCTCATGCCAGTGCAAGAGGGTTGCTGCTTTTAGATGGGCTGCTCCATGTGACTTTTGTGTCCATAGCACCAGTGGGGCCAGACACTTCCCATCTCTCCTGGGTGCTTGCAGAGTGGGAAGGGACTGGGGGGCTTATCCCCCAGAGTGTTCAGTGTGGCTCTGGCTCTTGGCACCAGTGGTTTCAGAGCTGACACTGCTGTGCCTGTATGCTGAGGGAGTGGTGACTCCAGCAAGGAGCCAGGATTTCTGCATTTGGGCTCCCTCAGCACCTCTGTGGAATGTTTGCCCTGATGTCAAAGCCTTGAGAGGTACAGTGGGTATGTTTAAACAGGAGCTGGGAGCATGTCTGAGTATTTATAGGCTGGGACTGTGAGAGTTTATCTTTACAAGATAAACTGGCACGAGCCTGGGATCAGGGTTTTTTACACATTTTTCTTTGTTTATGGAGCAAGCCAGGGAGTGCCATGGCTGAGGTGTCTAGAGAAGGCAGAGATGTGTGAGAGACAGATGAGGGATCTATTCCTCCTCACTCCTATTCTTGCCACAGTGGATGAACCCCTCTCCTTGCTGGTCTGTCTCCCTGGCCCCCTGCATCACCCCTGGCTCGAGGGGGTGAACTGGAGCACTGTCCCCTGCAGCCACAGCCGTGGGTGTGGGGTGACGCGCCCCTGGGAGCTGGCCGTGCTTTCGCAACCTTGATCCCTGCCTGAGAGGATTCCCAAGGGGGGGTCAAATGACTCAGCTCCAGAGGCTCCAGCTGGGAAGAGAAAGACCCTCAAGATCACTGACCCATTAACCCAGCACTGCCAAGTCCACCGCTAAACCCTCTGCACCACATCTGCCTTGCTTTTAAATACCTCCAGGGATGGTGGTTCTACTACTTCCCGTTCCAGTACCTGAACACCTTTTCAGGGTAGAAATTTTTCCAATATCCAGTATAAAGGTCCCCTGACACAACTGTTTCCTCTCATCCTGTTACCTGCTACCTGGGAAAAAAGGCTGACCCCTACCACACGACAACCTCCTTTCAAGTAGTTGTAGAGTGATGACATCGCCCCTGAGCTTCCTTTTTGCCGAACACCCTCAGCTCCCTCAGCTGCTTCACATTGTGCTTCAGACCATCTCCACTGCCCTTCTCTGAACACACTCCAGCAGCTCAATGTCTTTCTTGCAGTGAGGGGCTCAGAACTGGACACAGGACTTGAGATGCGACCTCACCAGTGCCTCGTACAGAGGGAATGTCCCTGCCCGAGCCCTGTTGGCTGCACTGGTTTTGATACAGGCCAGGACGCCACTGATTTTCTTGGCCACCTGGACACACTGCCAGCTCATGTTCAGTTTCAAACACCTTTTTTTTGGGGGGGGTTCATTTGCAGTCTGACAGCACTTTGTCAGGGATGCTACGGTGGCCTGTTTGTCCTTACGTATAGCTGTGTGTTTGCCTTCACCCTTTCCTCCATGTTTTTTTCTATATTTATTTATCATAATGGTAGCCAGTGCCCTGAGCTGCAGTGACCTAAAGGACAAGGAAAGCTTCAGTTCCGAAATGCAGATTATTCTTTTTTTGCCAAGCTGCAGGTGGGATGTTTAGAGGATAAATGTCTTTGAATTAAAAAAAAAAAAATGCATTTCTGGTTTCAAAGCTTGTTGCTAAAAGAGAAAACTACTCTTCCGTCTGAGCTGAGCAGAGCCTACAGGCACACAAGCCTGGGCAAGTCTGGTTTCAAACACCCTGACTCTGTCTCAAGATGCTGGTGCCGGTGTGAAGGTGCTGGATGCACCTCATTAGCAGAGCCTGATTCACCATCCCTGGGATTCTGAGTGTAGCAGTGGTAACTTTTTCCTGGCACAGTGCCAGGACCTCACCCACTCCCAACACTGTTTCCTAAACTGATACACAATTCACGAGGTGAGGGTGCGTTTTCCAATGGCACTGGCACGTCCCAACTTACACCCTCTTGCTGGGTGATACCCACAAAAGCAAACCTGAAGGTGGTTTAGTAGTAGCTCTGTCTGATGGGAAACCTGGAAGCAGAGGAGGGTTTGCACTGAGCACGACAAAGTGACTCATGTAGGCCCTGACCGTTGTGTCCCATCTCTGTGGGCGCGGGGTGAGATGTCCTTGGCATCGGGGTGGTGGCAATCCCCGGTCCATTGGTGTCGGCCGACTGGGGCTGGTTTGGAGGCAGAGCTGGCCAGCAGCCTGCTTAAACATGTTTTGGCTGCCAGCATGGGCTGCAGTGACCTTGTGGAGATGCTAAGTGGAGTTGCAAAAGGCTTAGGCTAGGTGGTAATTGTTCTCTTGGTGTCCCTTGTCGCAGTGGCAGGCAAGGACGGCTCGCCAGTGGCCGGGTGACACAACTGGGTGTCACGGCAGGCAGGAGCCCTGAGAATGGCTCCATCCCCATCAGGGCCATTTGCAGCAGCCTTTGAGCATGAAGTGCTTTCACGCCAGTGGACTTCTCCATCAGATCCTGCTCTTCCAGCCTTTCCCCTCTAGCTATTGAAAAAAACAGAAAGCATCTGTGTGGCAAAATACTTATGTTCTTTAAGCCTCTGAGCTGTCTTGGTGTCTTCACTAGGGTTTACTTGCACACCACCTTCCCTCAGTGGGCTGCTGCCAAACTTGACATTGCCTGTCCCTGTGTCCCACGCACTCCGTGGCCCTGCCCAAATCCTTGCCACCCCCACACCACCTGCCCGCTCCTGACCCTGCTTGGCATTGGATGTCCTTCGTCATCCCCTGGCCCATCCTTCTGCATGGCTGGTGACGCACCTGGGACCCACCTTGGGGAGGAGGGGACCTGCCTCTCCCTGACTGCTAGCGCTGTCTGCTCCTCAGGGCAGGAATCTCGTGTTGTTTGCCTCACCCGAGTTATTTAGCAGCAGGATGAAATTGCCAGGGACAGGCAACAACAATCCTGGCAGACGCTGGCAGCAGGCAGCGTGACCGGCGGCTGACGGGATGGAGTGGTAAGTGGCAATGATGGTATTGATTCATCCCCACCCACGCCAGGATGTGATGGGGAGCACAGGGACCCAACTCACCTTGTCACCTCCTTGAGCAATCCCTGCTGCAGTCCCCATGTGAGCCCAGCTTGGGATGGGGGGTGGCGGGTATCGGCCTGCTTGGTGGGTTTCCATGCACGATGAAGAGAAGTGTCTCCAGCCACATCCAAGCACACCATCCATCTCATTTTCTTAGCCAGCACTAGGTGTCATTTATTTTCTTTAATTTCCAGCAGAAGCTGCCCCAAGAAGGCCATCATTTGTGCAATCATGTCTCCTCAATGTGACAAAACACTGAAGCAATTGAGACTTCTGATCCTGGGAGGAGTGTGGGCTCAGGAAGACGAGGGTCAACACCCCATTGCAACCCAAGGATCGGCTTAAAGTTGCAATGTGTTTTCTTGGACTGGGAGCAAACAGCTTCCACTGGTGATTTGGTGAATCAATCTGGACCTCCTGGGGCAGTTTCTGCTGTGTCAATATGCCCACACAGGCTCTGAATTGTAACTCATTGTCACCTTTCTCCTAAGCTCCATCTTCACGTGCCACCACAGCCATTATATCCAGTGTGACTGCCTGGGGTTGAGATTTTGAACCCAGGTTTAAGTACGTCGGCAAACAGTGTGGCTTTGCACACCCTGTCTCTGACCTTCTGCACACAAAACACCCTGTTAATAATTTTTTGCAGTGTGGGATGTGGCATCTCAGCCTCTCTGGCTGAGAACCCCTGAATGTTTTCCCAAGGAGCACTGCCACCAGGGTGACTTAGAGTTAGGGTTATGGTCAAAAATGTGAAGATGCTTTGCTCTGTACTTGTGGCCAAAGGTGCTTGTAGGTTATGGGTGGGGGGAGGTGTGGGAGCATCCCTGACAGACACTGCAGCTGTGCCCAGGTCTGCAGCCTCCAGCATCCTCTCATGCTGCAGCCAGGAGTCAATGAAGCTGAACAGCTCGGACACTGCCACTGCAGATGTCTGTTAGCAGATAAATACCCACCAATCTTCCCTCCCTGCACTACCACCATTTCATAAAACCTTTTCTTTCCCTTAGTGCTGGATTGTTTTGTTTTTAGCATTGCAACTCTGAATTGACTGGTGCAGTGAGTGGGGGATTAAGGGCATGGTCCTGGGCAAAGGTCTCCTGCAAACTCCTCTGGGCCAGGCAGCTGCAGCTTCTGATCCCTGGGGTCACGTGCCCCACCCCGAAACAAGGGCCGCTTGTTTGGCATCGCTGGCAGAACTGGGCTCGGGAGGGGAGGCAGCTGGTCTGCTTGCAGCTGAGCGGAGGGGGACATTGCCCACTTACCTCTCTGGAGCAGGAGGGTGTCTTGGGGGTGTCCCAAGCAGTGCCAGAGGGGGAAACCTGGACACCAGGCAGCTTTGTCTGTTGGAAAGCAATGGTCAGAATCAAGTGCAGGTCCTCAGAGTCCGCTTTTCACCCCTTTGCACTTCTTTTCCTGGAGTGGAAAGGTGTGAAATTCAGGAGGGTTCAAAGGGAGCCTGTACCTGTTGGTGACACAGGTGCTCCTGCTTTGCCCTAGCCACCAAAACATGAGATGGATATAAAAGAAACATGCCACAACCGGCCCCAGCAGCTGAACCCTCTCTGAGCTGCAGCAGCAAGAGACCCTTGGACATCAGCAACCCCTTGAAGGAGGGAGATCAAGATGCCCTAGAAAGCCAAAACCTAAGGAGCATCCCAGGCGTTAATGAACTTATTACAGACACCTCTAAGACATAAACAACAAGTCTGTCTGTGCAGCAGGGCTTGAAGCTGCATCAGTCCTTTGTGGAGGTTGTTTCTGATGCTCCATCTTCAGAGCAGGGCAAAAAGGGCAGTTTGGATACTACATGTTTGAGCCATGGCCTGAAGCACTTGGCCCTATATGATGCAACCCCACAAGCCTTGAGTTTCCTTCCTTTTTTTCCTATTTTGGGCACGTTTTGCTGTCATTCCCCGCTGTGCTGACAGTGCTGGAGGAGGGCATGCGGCACTTTCCCCCTGCCTCAGCATCCCACGCACTGCAACGGCTCACGCGGGCCTGTTCCCACCACCCTTGACTCAGCTGATTTCCTCTTGCCCAAGGCACTGACCAAGCTCCCGCTGGCCCTGTCCAAGCACTGGTAAATGCGATGGATTGGAGTGAGGGAGGATGTCGAGGACCACCGTCACCCCCACCACTGGCTCCGTGCCCCCACAACCAGTTGCCATGGAAGCAGCTGGGGGTGCTGGAGATGGGCACTTGGATCACTGCGCTGAGCCTGGTGGTGTCTGACCTGCATGAAAGTGGGACGAACATCTGTACCTGCTTACCGGTCGTGTTTTGAGCATCCTGTAATTAATGTTTGCTCAGCTGATGGCTGCTTAGCATTATTAGCAGATGATGAGTAGCTGATGTTGTTGATGTTGCTGCCTCGAAACATCTAATTTCAGCATCTAGACTGAGCAAAAGGGCAGGGGGCCAGGCTCCCGGTGCCAAGACTCTGCCAGGCTTTGCTGCTTTGGAGGTGGCTTCCTATTAAAGCCCTGCACACAGGCATCCCTGCCCTCTCTTAGCCACAACAGCAGGGACAGAACCTGTGCTGGTGGCATGGTGGGGCCAGCAGCAACCCTTGCTGGGCTGAGGTGTGCAGAGTCCCCAAGCCCAAGACAGCAGGAGTGAGCTTGGGGGGCACAGACAGAAGATGACATTCAGGAGCCTAATCCAAAGCCCAGTGGAGGTTTATTGTGTATTTAACCCATCTGGATGAAGGTGTATAACATCTAATAAATAACTGAATGTCTGTAAAGGAGCACCAAGTTATCCCACCCCTCCTCCCACACTGCTGAACATAGGTATGAGGAACAAGCACTCACAATGGGATGCTTGTTTATTTATTTATTGTGGCAAAAAGCATTGGAAAAGAGAGCAACACTTCTGAAGCCTTTAAAAAAATTACTGATTATGCTGAGATTAAAAAAACTTAAGCCACTGTTGTCATTATCTTCTCAGTCCATAATCCCGCTGCCACCTGAGCAGCCAGTTTGGGTTTTTTTATGAGGCGACTGGAGAGCTGGTGGGGATTTGAGGTGCCATGTCCCCAAGCAACACAGTGGCCTCTAGTGGCAACTCCCATACAGCCCTGGGGAAAGAAACCTGCAAATGAACCTTGGGGTCTGCTTGTTCCTCAAATTAGGAAAATCAGGAGCAGAGTCCAAACTGCCAGAGGAGAGGCTGCCCTGCCTGGGGTGTGCCATGATGCCAGAGAACTGAGCACACCCTCAGACCCCATCAGCAGGGAGCAGCTGCTCCTGAGACCCCCCCATGCCCTCCACACACAGTTCTGGAGACCCATTTTAGCTTGGCCACGGCACCCAGTCCTGCCCTGGCCCCTGCGGGGGCTGGTCTGCAGCCCTGGCAGCCCTGGCTCCTGCATGGCTTGTGCTGCAGGCAGCCCATCTGCACTGCCCTCTCCTGGTGGGACATCGGAGCTATGTTGCAGCTCTGTCTCCTGGATGGACCTCAGCGCTGGGCTGCAGCTTGCCACTGTCCTGTAGCTCTGGGAGCTGAGTGTCCTACATGTCTGTGTCTCCTAAGAGCACTCTGCATGACTAAGGAAAACTGACTTGTGCTATAATCTCTTCTATAAGGGGGAATAGCTTAATAGGCGCTTTCTTTCTTCCACCTGTTCACTCATTTCTAAAAGGTTTGTAGGTCCTTTACAGTTTTGAAATCTTTCTCTTCTAAGTTTGGCTGGAGCTGCCTGAAGGCCTTGCTAGCACATCAGTGTCCTCAGGAAACCAAGCTGAGTTTGTCTGGTGAGGCAGGGTCTTGAGGACTCCCTTTAGGCAGAGAACCTGGGAATAAATCATAGAATGGCCTGGATTGGAAGGGACCTTAAAGATAATCCAGTTCCAAACCCCCTTGTGAGGGTAGGGAGTGGGCAGGGACACCTTTCAGTAGATCAGACTCAGAGCTCCACCCAACCTGGTCTTGAACGCTGCCAGGGATGAGGCATCTATACCTTCCCTGGGCAACCTGTTCCAGTGCCTCAGAGCCCTCACAGTAAAGAATTTTTTCCTAATATCTAATCTAAACCTACTCTCAGTTTGAAACCATTACCCCTCATCCTGTCCCTCCAGGCCCTTGTAAACAGAATCTCCCCATCTTTCTTGTAGGCCCCTTCAGATACCAGAAGGCTGCAATTAGGTCACCCTGAAGCCTTCTCCAAGCCAAACCAACCCAATTCTCTCAGCTTTTCCTCATAGGAGAGCTGTTTCATCCCTCTACTCATCTTGATGGCTCTTCTCTGGACTCGCCTCAACAGGCTGATGTCCTTTCTGTGCTGCTCTATCTTGGAGACTGCCTGAGAACAGCCAAAGCTACCATTTTTAAAGCTTCCTTTAGCTCATGTGTGTGGCATTAGCTTCACTTAATTCTTTGAGAAAAGTCCCCAGGTCCTACCGGGCAGGTAGGTGTAGTCCTCAGTGTCACAGGAAAGGTGTCTTTCTGTCCTAGAGCATCTTTTAGCTTTACCCTAAGACCTAAAGGACCTCCATACCAGGAGCAGAAATGAGCATCAAGTTTTGCATGGGAGTCCACGCACATGTCCCCTTTTCCTGAGATTTACTTGCTGCATGTCAGGAAATCTCTCCTTCTCCACCAGAAATTTTGCCTCCAACTGGCCCTGTCTCCTGTGTGGCTGGGAAGGAGGACTGCTGGCCTGCAGCCCATCAGAAGCAGGGGGGGACCCAGGCAGAGGGCACACCCACATTTTGAGCCCCTTGGATGTTATGAAGCCCATCATCAAAGAAAATGTGAGGCTGGATCTGGGCGAGGATGGGACCTTTGGGAGCCCCATCCATGAAGAAAGCCTCATCGATGGCCAGGCCCCATTCCCGGAGTGTCTTGATGGCTCGGACGCCCATGTCCCGGCCGCTGCGCGCAGTCACCAGGTAGGTGCGGATGGGAGATTTTTCCTGGCTGAACTTCCTGCGCATCTTCCCAAGGTGCATGGCAAAAGTCTTCAGGGGACCCTGGAAGCACAGCAAGACAGTTGGGAGCGGGTGAGAAATAAGGAGACATCTACTCTGCCTGTACAAGCCGCTTGTTCCTCTTCTAGGGTTCCTCAGGGCTCTGCAGAGCACAGGAATGCCTGTGGGCTGCAGGGCTGGGCAGTCTGGGACTGGTGTGGTGCACTGGGGTGCTCAGGAGGAAGGTGAGCCTTGTGATGCTCATCCTAATCCCAAAGTGACCAGGGAGGTACATCTCAGTGAGCAGTGCCTCTGGCTCTGAATCCTGCAAGAGATCACAGCCTACAAAAGGTGATGTTGAGGATAACCACAACCCTAGATATTTGGGAGCTGATGCTCACTTATAGGAGACAACAGGTCAGATCCATTTCCAGGGGGACTCCAAATCAGGCCCACACCAGGGACTGAATGGTGAATGCCTAGGGAATTTGTAAGGATTTGTGCTTTTTTTGGCTGCTCATGGCAAAGCCCAAGTGGGAGCAACGGCAGAGCCTCTGGGTGCCCATGGAAGGGAGGCAGCATGCTCACCTCTCCCATGGGCACGGCCTCCATCGCCTGCTCGTACTGCACTGCCCCCTCCAGGCCCTGCTCCTGGAAGATCTGGTCCGTCTCGTCGGAGAAGAGCACGGCATCCCCATCGAACACCACGCGGAGTGGGGTGCTGGGGGCCTGCACCTCTTGCTGGAAAACGAGCGCTGCCGAGACCCCTGTGAGACAGAGCAAGGTGGGGTTCAGGAAGGACAACCCCCCTGGGGGCAGCTCGTGCATGGCCAGCTCCTCCCTATGCATCTGTTGTAGCCCCATCCCACACTGCCATGCCAGGGTCTCCAAGCCATGGAGCCTTCTGTGGTAGTTGGCCCAGCCTTTCCAGGGCTGTGTTATGCCTCCAGGGGGGTGGACAAGGAAGTGCTGCTGATCAGAGACCAAGAGATCTCTGCTAAGAGATGGTGTGTGGTTGTCAAGGCATGAGCAGCCCTTCTCCTGGTGCTCGCTCACCCTGCCAAGCCTGGCTTTAATGCCCAGATTTAGCTCTGTGCTATGAATAATACAGACTGGCATCTCCATTGATTGGAGTAATGGGCTTAATTTGGCTTAATTCCTACAAGCTGCACCCTGCCCACCCTCATCCATGAACCCAGGCCCCCAGATGAGAGACACTTGTCAGAGCAATGATGCTCTCAGGGAGGCTCCAGGAATGTGCTGTGTAGTGAAGTCCAGGCTGCAGATGTCTTGCTCCTGACCTTGAAGAACGTGGCCAGCTGATGTGCTCATACCCAGGAAGGCGATTAACCCCATTAGAGCTGTTGGGGAGACTGCACTCCCTCCAATCTAGGTCAAACGTGCTTTCATCTATCTCTCAGCACACAGTCACTCTGCATGTACCAAGGCAGCAAATTTCTATGGCATCCTCACAAAGCCCTGGGAATCACTGATGCACTCTCATTGATCCATGGAGCAGCCGTGGCATTGCATCTTTGGTTAGAAAGGCTTAAATGTCAGGCAGGGAATGACCAGGCCATGGCAGAGCTATGGCCAGAATGATGCATAAAGCACTCAGTGACTTGTGAAAGCATCTGAGCAACCCTGGTGTGTTTCCAGGCTACTGGTAAGTACAGGGGATTGAATTGTTTAGGACTGTACTGATAATCAATGCCATCCGCCCCTTGCCCTTGCAAAAGCTTGGATCTGGCATTGCCTCTTGGTACTGGGCTACTTGGGAAAAGTGTGGTGTGTTTGGGGACATGGGATGGAGAGGAGAACGTACCTCTCTGGAGGGCATTGCAGACATCTGTCCTGTCAGCTGAAAGGAAGAGCTTGACCCCGTGGGACTTCAGGTACTGTGTGGAGTCCTCATCACTGACAAAGCAGAACTTGGAGATCTCTAGGCCTTCAGGTCAGGGAACGTGAGAAAAATCTGTTAAGTAGCAACATCCTCCTCACAGCCCCCCACTCCCTCCCTGGGTTTGGCATGCTTTGCTGCAGGAGCTCAGGGCAATGAGTTTTTCAGTGCTGTGTGGGGAACCCACCCATTTTCTGGCTGCATATTCTTGTTCTATCAATCCTACAAAACTGTGCAGTGCTGTTAAATATTCCCTTCATCCCTCCTTAAATGAGCAGTCCTCATGACAGCACTCTAGGATTTATGGGCCTTTTTTAAAGAACTGGGTTTTTTTCAGGAGCTGACTAGGGATGTCCAGGCTGTGCAAAATACTGCCAGACCTCCTGGTGTGAAGGACATGGCTGAAGGGAGCTGGGCTCTGCCAAGGAGCCTGTACCCTGGGTGTGCTCCGGCACCCTGGGCAAGCCGCACGGGGCTGGGAGGAACTGGGCTTGTTTAAAAGAGAACCCCTTCCCCTTGGTTCTCCTGGCTCTCCATTTGCCAGTGATGATCCACTTTGGTGCTTTATCTGTTTCACAGCCTCCCGGGGCAAGCAGGCACTCCTGGGGATGGGTCCCTCTTACCGTAGTGTTTGGCGCTGTTGATGATGCGTACTCCGCTCTCTGGGCTGTTGTTGGAGAGCACCAGGATGTCAAAGAGGTCCTTCTCTGCTGGGTTGCTCTCCAGCATCTTCTTGTTCACATACTGCACTGCCTGTGAAGACAAGATGGGACTCTTTTGCTCTTTTGGAGAGGCATGACTGCAGTGGCTTTGCAGGGGCTCTTCTGCAGTTGAGTTTAGTGGTTTGTGCTGTGTCAGCTATGGCAAGGCTGGCATGTTATGGAGAGACAGATGGAGCAACCATCCTGCAAAAGCCATCGTTGGGAGAGCAGGGAGCAGGATACTTCACCATGGGGGAGATGGATTGATGAGGAACACAGGTTTTGATGCCCTGCAATGAGGCCAAGAGGCCAGGACAGGGCCTGCACCCTGTGATGGGAGCTGAGACTTAAAGCTGGGAAAGCTGAGCTTTCACCCCATCCTGCATGTGCCACTAGCCAGGTGCAGGGCTCACCTGGATGAAGGCAAAGGCTGTGCCTGGTGGGAGAGGCTTGTGCTGGTTGGCCTGCTGGTGCCTTGTGTACTCCTCTTTGCCCCTCTCCAGGTAGAGTTTGTGCTCCTGCTCCAGGTTGAAGATGGCTCTGGTGGTCACAGCAATGACCAGTGCCTTGCTGGGGTCTTTCTGCAGAACAGGGAGAAAAGCAAAGTTGGGAGACAGCAAAGAAGGAACTCATGGAGGTGGAGTGAGTGGGGGGAACAGGGCTCCACCGACCAGGGTGATGGGATTGGGTGCTGGATGTATTACCCATGTGTCACAATTCCTGATGCCAGAGGTACAAAGCCCAGTCCTCATCTTCAGGTCACCAAGGATGGGACTGGCAGTTGTGAAACCTTAACCTGTCTGGTAATCCCACATCCTCCAAGGACAGCTCACAGAGAGGGGATTGTTTCATAATTTTGCAGTTTGTGGGCACAGTACAGCCATGATCATCTGTTTGTGCTGAGCTGGGCACTGCTGGGTTTCTCTGCACATACTGGTGGTTTTACTTTGTTTTGTGTCTGTTCAGGATAGTCTAATAAAGTCTCTGTGTATGTACAGAAGCTGCTGCTTTCTCCCTGTCCGCTCCAAAATTTAAGTGTGAGCAAATGTACCTGCCCTTTTCATGCAACTGGAGGTTCAGCCCTGCAACTTCTTCCCATGTGGAAACCCCATGGACCTCCCTGGGACCAGATGCTCAGCACCTCTGAGACAGGCCACTTCTACTGAAACCTAGGCACAAGCAATTCAGGCCACCACAGTTCTGGGGTTGTGGTGTGTCCTCTCCTGTGGCGGCATTTCAAAACTTGGTTTAGAAATACCGGATGTGTGTTTCGTAATGAACAACCTTTTACCTGTTTCACATTGGTGTTTATGACTGTGTTTTCAGGCTCTGCCATCTTCAGTTTTCAGCTCCTAAGAGAAAATATAAAATGAAACGGACAGATTAAAATATAGCCAATCTACAGATGGGAAAGAGTGGAAAGGAGACAAGGGACATCCTACCCACCAAGGGGAGTAGCCCAAATGAACATGCTTCTGCTGGCAGCAGCTCTGCTCCCAGGAATACTGTTCTAATAGTTCCGATTAAATATGATGGAAAAGTGGCTTTTCAAACACAGATCATTGATTTTTATTTTTATCTTTCTCAAAGGGTATTTTTCTTTGTGTGGAACTGCTGAAAGCTGTTGTGGAGCTGTTTTCCCAGCAAAATAAGGCTGTCTTAAAAAGACAAAATTGATCAAATCTGAGTTCACTGCATGAGAAGCTCATTTGCAGCTGTAAATGGCCAGAGTAAGTAGAGATGTGTGGTGAGGGCTTGTGTGCAGGCTAGGACTTCCCTGATGGGGCTGGTCTGCCCCTCGACAGCCCTGTGAGCCAGCCTGGCCCTACACTGAAGGTCTCAGTGCTAACCCAGGTCTGGCAGATGAAAATCTTGGGGGAGTTACATGGGTCTGCCTGTGAGGGCAAGTGAATCATAATCCTATTTATTTTCATACACCCAGGTCCTGTGGTTTCTGTAACCACCATGGTGTACACTCCACTTCTACGAACTAGTCAGAGCTAGAAGTGGACCATCCCCAGCCTGTGGGATGGGAACTGTTCCCATTCCCACCAAGGGGGATCCCATGAGGGTTATTTCTGTCCAGTAGCTCCTGGATGGAAACACTGCAGGGTTTCTCTGGAGAGCAGAGGACGGATGACTGCTCTACATGGATTGCTGGGAATGGCAAGGGTGTTAAAACTTAATTTATCAGTTCATGCCCTACCTGCTTACTTGGGCTGGGGGGCTGTGCCAAGCACAGACCAAGGCCAGCATGCAGTGTAAAGGGCAAGTCAGGGTCTTCAGGGAGGCTTTTCTTTTGTTCCAATTTTAAGTAATTTTTGTTAATCAGGGACTGCAAAGTGTTGCCTGGGCTGATAGGCAATACACTTGGCTGATGCCAGCCCTGAGAGCCAGAGGCTTGTCATGGGGAGTTCAGAGCCTGTGTGTGCACCCCCTGACTGCCCCCGGGGTGGAAAGTCCTGTGGCAGGGCTGCTCCCCCATCCAGGGCGCCTGGAAAGCCAGGAGATACTGAGCATCTCTGCTTCCTCCATCCCATATCCCATGCTGGGAGGGGGTCTCTTCCCAGGGAGCAGGGCAGAGGGTGGCAACCACTACCCTAGACGAGCAGGGAGAAAGAAGCTTTCCTCTGACAGAATCTCGGCCAAGTACTTTTCTGAAAGTCAAAATTGAATGCAAGGAGGCAAAGGAGCTGAGCAGCCCTTCCTGGTGGGAGAGTCCACCTCCTAACATCTGTTCTTTCAAGCGCAGCAAACAAAGCCTGACTTCTCCTTTCCCCTTCCCTGCCCCTAACGCCCCTAATGCCCGCAGTGCTGTTCGCACAGACACGCATATCTGCACACGCTCACAGGCGTGTCCCGTAGCTCATCCCACACTGGGTAGCAGGGGGCAGATGTTACACACACCCCCCCCCCCCCAGACACAGACAGGATTTTGCCGGAGAGAAAAGCCCAAACTCACCCCGAGTGCTGCCTCTGCTCCGCAGCACAGCCCGTCCAGCAGCAGCATCCCAGCTCTGCCCTAGACGCCTCTGTTTATATTTCCCCCTCCCCGCGCCGGCAGGAAGCAGGCAGGAGCCAGGATGGGGTGCAGCTCCACTCCCCGGCGTGCTGGGATTTGTAGGCAGCCAGGTGGTTGGCGTCGTGCCCGGGCCAGACTGCATTTCCCAGCTGGCGTTGCACAGGCGGATCGTGGTCACCCGGGCCTGGCCAGGGACACGGGCGCGGCCAAGCTGCGGAGGGGGCTCAGCCCTATTCCAGCTTCTGGAGCTCCCTGGGAGCCTGTGCTCAGTGGCCGTGCACAGCCCACAAGCACTGCCGCCGTATCTATTTCTGCCGCCGGAGTATTTATAGCATGCCCCTAGACCTCTCCCTTCCCAGCCTCTGAAAACTACGTTTGTAGTTTTGACCAAAAATATAGGGGTACCTGCACCAGAGTGGCTCACAGCGGTTGTAGGGATGCAGGGAGCAAAGGCTTGTGCACAGTGTGGCAGGGTGCAGAGGGGACTCACCACACTTACAATTTTCCTGTAATGTTTTTGGATCCCTTTTCCCCTCTTTTCTGAAAGCTGTCTCTCACATGCTGCCCTGAGCAGGGGTGATTTCTGGGCTAGGATCTTGCTTTTCTGGGTAGCTGTGTGGCACCCAGCCCCATGAGGGGTGGTGCTGGAATATTTCAACGTCCCCTTTCTCTGCAAGAGTGTGATTGGCAACGATGAGGGTAGGAGGAGAAGGAGGTAGGGGGAAAGGGTGGAAAGGAGAAGGCGAAAGGAATTGATGTGACCTGCTGCCATCCTGCAGCTTTTTCCTTGCCCTGCCAGGCCATGTCCCTGCCCCACTGCGGGAAAAAGGCCCAGTGCAGCAGCCTGCCCATCCTGGCTCCTGCCAAAGGAGACCAAACCCACCTGCACTAAGGCCAAGCAGCTGTCTCCCTGTATGACACCAGGTTATCACCAGTATCACGAAATCTCCTCTCAAAATGTGGGAGGCCTCCAGGGTCCTGTGCACTTGGCTTCACTGAGATCACAGAACCATAGAATGGTTTGGGTTGCAAGGAACCTTAAAGTTCCAACCCCTACATCATGGTCACTGATGCCACATACTAGATCAGGTTGCTTAGTGCCTCATCCAGTCTGGCCTTGAACTCTTCTGGGGATGGGGCTACAACTTCTCCAGGAAACCTGTTCCAGTGTCCCATTATTCTCTGAGTTAAAGAATTTTTTCCTAAGATCTATGTCTCTCCTCTTTTAGTTGTCTCTAGCAAACAGCCTGTTGAAAAGAGTACTGGTATTCTCAGCTTTTAGCATGTTTATGCAGACTCCCTTTCCCTGACTGATTTTATTGGACATATTCCTTTTTCCCCCATCCCCATAATGCATTTCTCCTGTGCATCCTCTGGGCTGGCTAGTTTAGAGCAAAAAGCCCCCCCAGAGGTTTGCTGCAGCACCATTCGTGCAGCATCTCCTACTCCTGCAGGTGATGCTTTTCTGAGCAGCAGGAGTGCAGGGCACTTGTGAGTAGGGTTGTGGTTTGGGTGGCTGAGGGGCAGCCCCAGCCCCTGCCCCATGGCTAGACACCTGGTATGGCAATGCCTTGGTGGTCATGTGAAAATCTGGCAGGACCGGTGAGCCAGGGGTGTGGGGCAGAGCTGGGACAGGTCTGGTTTCCGGGGCATCTCCTCCCATGACTACGTCAGCCATCAGGCATTGGCAGTATTGCTTCCTGCTTCTGACACCACACCAAATTTACCTGATGATAAGGCAGGTTTTGGGCAGACTTTGCCGAACTGGCAGCAAGGGAAGAACTTTACAAGCATAAATTTAATTCAACAGGGATGCCCGTGAAATTGCTCCTGGCTATGTGCCTGGTGCTGCTCCCATTGGCACTTGGGGGGTGAAGACACCCAAGCAGTATCCCCTCACCCTGTCTGTTCTCCCTGATGTGTTGGAGCAGAGCATTCTTGTTCATACCCACTGCTGCACACGTTTCCAAGGCCCTCATGTGGTGCATGCCCTGTGGCCAGTGAGCTGGGCCCTCCAAGCACAGAGCTCACCAGAGATGGCTGCAGTACTGCACCCATCCCACTGCAAGTGTCCATTCCCTTGTGCTAAGTGCCTGCAGCTACACAGTCCAGCCCGGCAGGGATAACTTGGAGAAGCGAATTTCCCAGTGCACAGAGCTGGGCAAGGATGCCCATCAACTTCTCGCAGGCAGGAGGGCAGGTTTTGCTTCCTGGTCCAGCAGGGAGTTCCCCACTGGCTTTTCGCCTGCATGAACACTGCTTGGGTCAGCGGCGAGGTGGGGCTGACGGAGCTGCTGAGGCCACCCTGTTCCTGAGCTGGCAAAGCAGACTTTCCTGTTTCGGCTGTGCCGTGCAGTCACTATCCCTTCTGCACTCTCCACTCCACGCCTGGTGGGGTCCCATCTCGCCCCACAGCATGTCCTTGCTATGCATGGTGGCTTGACCCGGATCCCGCGCAGCAGGGAAGGCAGACTGAAGCTGAGAAAGATACTTGTTGGTAAGTCTGGATTTGGGAACTCAGTCAGCATAGGGTGGAAGCAAGAATCAGGGTTCTCCCAGCCCCTTTTCCAGGAGCATGAATGCTTGATGCTCCCTGCAGACTGCCCACTGAAACTATGCTGCCTCTCCCATACGGCAGCAAGGCTGTAACTATCATTCCAAAATTGGTGGCTCAGATCATTCTGCAGGGCTGGGATGAGGTTTTTTTTAAACAGGGCTACTGTTAGACTAATGTGGGAGTCTGGCAGGCAAGAAGTACTGAGACAACTAATTCTGTGCAGGGTGGGTGTCTGTTTGGCTATATTGTTGTGTCCATGCTTCAACACAGTCTGAAACTGCAGGCCAGCACCTCTAAATACCTGAGCAGAGCTTCGGGTGTCCAACGGCACAGATGTCCCAGGTGGTCCTGGACAAGTCACTTAATGTGCACCTCACTGTCCCAGCAATGATTCCACAGGGATGACAGCAATTCCCACGTCTCTCCAGCCCTGTGCCCACGTGCAGCAAAGCTCACTGCTGGGAAAAATAAGAGGCTCTTGCTGGCTTTGCTGGCTCAGCAGAGGGAATTGCAGATGTGATTTCTCCCCAGGAGAATCCCCATGCAAGGAGCACTTTGGGATGGGCAGAAAGTGGGCAGAGTGCAGGCAGGGCGAGGTGGTGTTGACTGCTTGAGCAGGGACCCACTGGGACGCAGGACAGGAGGCTGGGGCAGCCAAGGCAAACAGGCAAATACCTGCCAGCCTTAGTCACAGCACCGGGGCTGGGTGCCACCCTTGCTGTGATGGCTGCAGACACGCTCACCAGGCAGCCTGGCTCCTGGCACACCTCTCCTGCTGACGCAAAAGGAATTTCGTTTTGAGGAAGCACTAATGCTAGAATAAGAGCTTTGCCATGGGGAGAGCAGTGCTGTAAAACCACCCTGCTTTAAATCTGAAGCCTTTCCTTAAGCTGTGTCAACGTTGCCATGTGCACAGGTCAGGATCACAGAAAATTTCCGAGCCGGTGTGACTCCAGCATGGTGGCGCCACTGCCACCGGCAGCAAGGGCAGCAGCCCTGCTGCAAGCCAACCGTCCCACTCCTCAGCCCTGCGAGAGACGGGAAAATAGCCAAAAAGAGGAGTTAGATAGTGATGAGGCTTTCCTGGAGCAAACCCTTCAGCTCGAGGTGCCTGGCCAGGGAGGAGCCAGCACAGAACAGGTCTTGGTTTTGTCCCCTACCGACAGGTGATTCCTCTTCTCAAAAAAACCCTAGAAAACTCCCTAATCCACCACCCTTTCAGATCTCTCTCCTTTTAGAAAGCAGACTTGCAGGGGTATGAACGAGAAGGCTGTATGCGAAGGGCCGGCTGGCGCACAGCCCTCACTGCCCGCGGCTCCCTCCAGCTCCATTTCACACCTCATTGCCAATGTGGCCAAGCCCTAACCGCTTACCCTGGGCTCTGTATTTTAATTGTGTTTGCTCTCATTAGAGCCCTGGGCCACTGTCAGCACAGGTGCTACTGGAAAGGAAATCCCCACCCTGTTAATTTTGCCTGTGTCCTCAGGTCACCCCAGCGATGGCAGTGGCAGCCAGGATAGTCAGGACTACGACCTCCCCGCATGCCAACATCACCACCACGGCTTGGCCGGGCTTCTTAGACAGCTGGCTTAGCCGGATCCCATGTGAGTACAGCAGCTCTTGCCCTACTCTCAGGCAGCATTATCTAGAGGGGCCCCTGGACTCTGAGGCTATATGTCCACTTCTCTCTCCCTCCAAATCCCTTTTTCTAGTGGGGTCCTTCAGGGTGGGGATGCTGCAGAGTGATACCATGCTGCTCCAGGAGTGCAGGGCATCCTTGCTGCCCATCTAGGGAACGGTCTCCAGCTGCAGCCTCCCTGCACAGGGACTGTTCAGGATTCTAGGGGCAATTTTGAAAGTATAACTCCTTAATGCTGAAGCACCAGGAAGGGGTTTAAATGCACTCCACATGTTGGTTTTAACTGTTCTGTCCAACTCCATTCCTCGAACATCGCACCAGTACCCAAATGGGCGCTCATCGCCGTGGCTGTGGCAGGGGCCATTCTCCTCCTCCTCTTCCTTATCTGCATCATCAGGTGCTGCAGTGGCAAGAAGAAGCCCAAGAAGAAGGAGAGAATCAGCTTGTGCCCTGTCAGCAACTCAACCACAGCCAGCCTTGTGCGTCCTGCTTTCCCTTCAACCCCACCTCCCTTCTCCCTGAGAGGTTTGCTGCTGCACTTCCCAGTCCCAGGGACTGTGGGAGCACGGCAAGGCGGGGACACGGCTGAGCACATTCTGAGGGTAGTATTGCTCTCTGCCACAGGTCCAGCCTGAGATGGAGGACCTGGAGCGGGGAGTGGAGCAGATGCGTCGAGGAAAGCTGCAGTACTCCCTGGACTACAATTTCCGCACACAGGAGGTGGGGATGCTCATGGCAATGGCACAGCAGGGAAACAGCTTTGCTCTTGCATGATCCCTCTTTGCTGCCCGCTGAGGTGGACCATACCCTTTTCCACCTGCCTGCAGCCTGCCAGCTCTCATACCTGCATGGTGTGAAGGCGTCCTCGCTGTTGCACTCACTTGCTTCCCACTGAGCCCTCAGTTGTCCGACCCTGTCCTCCTCCACCTGGTGACCTTGTGCATCACTCCTTTCAAGCTGAAAGTTGGTGTGAAGCAGGCAGTTGAGCTGAAGGCCATGGACAGTGGAGGCACATCCGATCCGTATGTGATTGTCTACCTAACATCTGATATGAAGAAGAGATACGAGACCAAGGTCTACCGCAAGACCCTGAACCCCATCTTCAATGAGAGCTTTACTTTCCAGGTAGGAAACTGCAGGCAATGATGGCTTTTTGGTCCCATCAAGAACGTTGTTGCATAGGCACTAGCCACTGGGTAAAAACCTCTCCAGGCAGGGAGATGCTTGTGCAAGCAGGATGGGGAAGTGTCAGAGAGTAATACCTGTTATTGCATCCACTGCCACATCCCATGGGGCAGAGCTGCCACTGAGGAGTAAATCCTGGCTTTTGGGTCCTCCCCTGTAGGTACCCCAGGCAGAGGTGCCTGAATCCACACTGGTGATGCAGATTTATGACTTCAACCGCTTTGCCAAGCACGACATCATTGGTGAGGTCCGGCTGCCCCTGGCCAGTGTCAACCTGCAGCATGTTATTGAGCAATGGAGTGAACTGGCAGCGGCCAGTAAAGTGGAGGTTGGTCCTGTTGGGTGGGAAAGTCTGCCAAGAGGGATGCACTGTTGCTTCACTTGCCACCACCTCAAGAAGCAGGCCCTTAGGGGCAAGCACAAGAGTGGCGGAGACTTGAGAAACCTGGGGCCTGGTGTCATAACCCCAGGTGAGCTGGGTCCTCTGCCTGGTACTAATTGCTGGCATCTCTCCATCAGGAAGAGCAGCTGGGTGAGATCTGCTTCTCACTGCGCTATGTCCCCAGCACTGGCAAGCTGACGGTGCTCATCCTGGAAGCCAGGAAGCTGAAGAGGATGGACTCTCATGGACTCTCAGGTCAGCAGGGGCTGCTTGGTCAGATCTTCTTACTCCTGCCCAGGCCTTAATGATGGCTGCAAAGAGCTGCCATCAATGATGGCATCCAAAGAGCTGCAAAGCCTTGAAAGATCTTAGTGTTAAGACCTGCTTACTGCTGCCACCACCCTACCCAGACTTTGGCTGACTCCCAGCCTTCCCAGCACAGATACTCCAGCTTTGTGCAGAGCTGGAGATATCTTCCAGGAGGAGATATTATGGCTGGATTGTACAGGAAACTCGTGGCAGGAGGAGGTGAGCTCTGGGGTGGCTGGCTCACCACAAGGAGTGGCAAGTGAATGGCATGCTGTGCTTGGGAATGGCTCAGGGAACATCTTTCGTGGCTGAGCTCCTCAGTCAAAAATTGTCACTTGTGCCAGCTGTGTCCTCTCTCTCCTCAGATCCTTTTGTCAAGGTGCATCTCATCTTGAACAAGAAGAAATGGAGGAAGAAGAAGACAAGTGTGAAGAAAAACACCTTAAGTCCTTACTTCAATGAGGTGTTTGTTTTTGAGGTGCCTTTCAATCAGATCCAGGTGGGTTTCCCTGCAGCACCCAGGGCTGAGCAGGTCCCCACTGCATCAAGCCCCCTCCCACTGACCCTCATTCTTGTGTACCCCCCAGAATGTAGATGTTGTCATCTCCGTCTGGGATCATGACAAAGTGACCAAGAACGAGCCCATTGGCAAACTCTTCCTGGGCTGTCGAGCCACAGGCAACCAGCTGCGGCACTGGTCCGACATGCTGTCCAACCCACGCCGGCCCCTCGCCCAGTGGCACATCCTGCAGCCCCCCGATGTGGTTGACAAAGCCCTAGGACTGAAGTCTCACCTCAAGCTGCCCCTGGCCTCCAGATAGTGGGGGTCTCCTTCTCCACCCAGAGAGCAGAATGGTGGGCTTGAGGAGGAGAGAGGAGCTTCTGCTCAGCAACATCTACACGTGTTGGTCCTAGCTCAGTGTCAGCAAAGAGGGGACTGGGACTCCTTTCGGCTAGGAGATGATCTGGCTGCTGGTGCAGTTCATGCCCGTTGTAATGCCTGGGATGGGGCAGCTTGGTATGCCAGGGCAATGCTAGACGTGGAGCAAAGGATGCTAGAGGAGATGGCATGGGCACAGGAGCCAGCTCATCCCAACTGCTCGTGGGCCAGGGGCAAAAAATACACAGAGCTTTAGGCTCATGCAAACACACTGAGTCCGTTGATATTTATAAAGAAGAGGGTTAACTTGACAGTGGCATGAGTGGGAAATTTCTTTGGTTGTGAATAATTTGACAAGAGGCGTGTACTTGGAAAGGCTTTATGTGTCCTGTGAAGGCTTTTAAACAAGACCAACATGTTAAAGCACCTAAGAGGCTTGAGAGGAGAGAGAGTAGAGGTTGATGTGGAAGGTGTTGGAGACATGGAACTAGCTCTTGAGTGCCTCTGCATTAAGCGTCCTCTGTGTCCTGTCTAGAGGCTAAATGAGGCAGCGAAGTCAGGCACTGGTTGTCTACGTGGCTTCACTCTTAGCTCATTCCCAGCCATGATGATTTGAGTTCTCTAAGATGTGACTCAGGCTATGGGACTCATCAGTGAGCATCCCCACAGACCACACAGATGAGGATGCAGAGTGTCAGCTCCATTCACCCCGCACGGTCCTACAGTAGTGGTGCAGCAACGTTTGCACCTCTGGCAGCTGGAGGTGCTGCCAGGGTGAGGGGCTGAGGCCCTCACTTTCGTGGAGTGATCACACTACCCTAATAAGGCTGGGTTGCAGCCCTCATGTCACTTCTGGGCAGGTTTTGTGTGATCTGGAAGGTTTTTGTGGCCGTGTTCCTGCCCTGCCCTGCCCTGCTTTGTGGGGGCAGGGTGGGGGCTACATAAGTAAAGACATCATGAAGGATGAGGGCATTGTAGCCATGCCTCTACATGCCCTTGATTACACTGCAGTTTGGGGTGATTCAAGAGCAGCTCCTCAGAGCCATCTGCAGGAGGAAGCTCCTTGGATTGGGCTAGAGGAGGAGGGAATTGCTTTTGCTCTAAAATACTTCTGCTACAAAGCAGCCACAGCACATACAAGATGTGGGCTCATATCATGGAATTTTGGCCCAAAAGACAAAAGTCCTTTTCACCACAGGGAGCTGCAGGCACAGTGCTAATAGCTATTGCATGGGCTCTGGAGGGGAGATAGCCCAGTGCATTAATGAAAAGCTATTAATATTAAAGAGCAGTTAATCTGTGATTACCCAGAGCTCCACAGAGCAACTATCCAAGAGTTAAACAAACATGAAGCTGAGGAAGATTATGAAAACTCTCGATAGAGATTAATGACCTGAGCTTAACCATAAAAAGCTGCTGTGTCTGCTCCATGATAAATATTCTCCAGGCTTCGCTGTGGCCGTGAGGAGGGAAGAAATGACAGGGTGGTTTTGAGATGACTAACAAGTGAAGTGTGGCTTCTGCTGGGGAAACAGCATCTGCTGGCAGCCGCTAATGAGATGGAGGAGGAAATCAGTCACCTGAGAAAGACTTGCAAAGAGATGTTTTAAAGTCTCAGCCTTCAGTCTCTGCCTAGAACAGGCTGTGCAGAAGGGAACTTCTCTGAATTGGGTTTGGGGTCCAAAATCTGTTGCCAGGCTGGTTTTTGGTGGTGCTATGTGATAATTTAGGGCCATGCAGGACCCAGAAAGGCTTTTGGAGGTGTTCGGAACAAGCATTTTTGTGTGCATGTGTGTGTGTGTGTGTGTTTGTGTTTATTTTCCAGTCCCCCTATTTTGAAGTCATAGCCTTGGGATTCACTGCATAATTTATGGGGCTGGACATAAAAGCATGTACATATTAGGCCCAAAACAGATGCAGTTGAAGAATGTGCAAGGACATCCCCACCTTGAAAAACATTACCCCCTATACCAGTTGCCTGCTCCTTCTCTCTCCAGCTTTGGCCCTACTCAGTGCCTGAACTGCCAGTGTGGGGTGAGCAGAGCTTTTAGGCACTTTTAGGGGGAAGGCCAGGGAACGTGGAAGTGAGCACCCAGCTGGACTGGCTCTGGGCAGCCTGGAGTGAGCCTTGGTGCAGTAAAACTCAGCAATCCGAGTTGTTTGTTCAGGAGGGAGAGGCGAGCACGTGGGGATGTTCTCCACCCAGCTCCAGTTTTTAATGCACCACTGAGTGTGCTTTTTCCCTCCGTCATCGCTTTTCCTTCTCAATATGCCTTGTGCGTTTACAGCAAGGCTTTGAGCACTCTCCTCCTCTGGCAGGATCCTCTTAGTGTCTGCTGGCAGCTGTTTGAAGCAGGGCTAGTGGATCTGGGCTTCATTTCATGGCTAATTTCACCCAAAATGAACACAGCCTGCTTGGGAGCCTGTTCACAGGAAGGCAAACAGCCCTGCCTTGTGTGCAAGCCGTCTCCTTTTCACCTCCCTGTGGCCTTGGCAAGGCTGGTTGTCCCTCATTTACCAAGGCCAGATGTCTGACTATATTCTACCTGACCAATGCTGCTCGTGCACTTGGAGAGTGGAAGATGAAACAGGAAAAGAAGTTAAAAGAGGGGGAAACCAACCCGTCCTCAGCTTGTGTCTGTGCTGGATTCCCATGTCTGCATCTAGGGGGCAGGGCAGGTACACGCTCTGAGCTGGATATCCCTGTGTCTTCTGGTCTGTGGCCCCCGTTAGAACCTTGCCAGACAAGATTTCTTCTTCTGGAGATGGAACGTGTTTGCAAGAGGGAGAGAAAGCACTGGGAGAGAAACCATGGGCACAGAGCCAGCTGGTAGCCAACTGGTGGATGGAAGCTGGGGTTATCTCAGTGGCCTTTTCCAGGAGGCAGGAGAGCCAGCCTTTGGCTGATCGCGCACCTCAGGGGCAAAGAGGGTTTTGCTGATGGGTTAAGGGGGGCAAAAGGAAGTATCCAAAGCCAGTCTGTATGGTGCAAGGTGCCCAGGTAGTGGGTGTGGATTTTGTCACTCTGCATTTAATTAGAAGCTTTGCAGGTTGGTGGCAAGGTGAAAAGCAGGGCTCGGGCCAGGCAGAGGTCTGTTAAAGGAGATGAGAAGTGCTGAAAATGGAGGTGTTTGCTATTAAGATTCATAATCTTAATTATTTACATCTAGATCCAAGACTTCTGACCTCCAGAAGTCCCTCCCAAAGTGAATTATTCCCATATTCAGTGATTTTTATGATGTTTGTCCCTGCACTTTAAGAAATCAAATGGGAGAGCTGCACAAGGAGAAGGCTGAGCCTCATATGTGCTTGCAACCAGTTGTCTGCCGTGAGACAAAAATGATTACAGGCTGTCATCATTCGGCCTGGGTATGGACTGGCTGTCCTCCAGCCACAGATTTTTTGGCTAGTCTTAGAGTTTTTTGAGAGCTGGAGAGTATCTAAGTTCTTCTCACTAGGAGCAAGCATGCCTGTTTTATAAATATGCCTTAGCTAGCATCTTTATGCCTTGCAATTTTATGGGCAAAATGGGTACTTTGTCATGCGTGAGTTTATTTTTTTAAAGCTCTAGCTCCTGGATTTGAGGGTTCTTGTGCAGGTTTGCATCTTTTTCTTTTAAAGCACGTTTGTGGGTGTTTGTGTGTTTGTGTAAATATATGAGGTGAAGGGTCCTGCGCGACACAGGGCAGGGGGGACAGCTGCCATCAGCCAAGGGGTGTCTGGGAAACTGTGGAGGGAAAGAGGGCACTGGGAAGGGGTGCTGGGAGTGCCTCCCCGCTTGACACTGATGGGAAAGGAGTGGAGATTGATAGGTCATGCCTGGGTGCTGGGGTCTCCAGGGCGTCGCATGGGGGGGAGAGAGTGGGGGCTTTGTGCTGCAGCCAGGAGCAGGGTGGGGGAAAGGAGAGCAGGAGGGCTGTGGGATGGTGTGCTGCTGCCTTTCTGGGTGATTGCTTCCTCCTCTGCCCCATCCGAGTCTGTTGTGGATGTGACTCTCAGTTTCTGAGAGAGATGCGAGGAGCCACCCTGTCCCTATTGCTATCCTTATCCCTAGGCTCCTTTCCTTATTGCCTTTTTCCTACTCTTTCCTCCCCCTTTATCCTGCTTCCTGAAGTTCCATTTGAACTTTGTGGGGCAGACCTGGTAAAAACAGACCTCCCATTTCTCCATACTTCAGGCATAGGTAGGATGGAGCCTAGGGAGAAGCAGCACAAGGATTTCATAGCTTTTATGCTGCCAGACAAAAAGTGCTCCCCAAAGAAATTCAGCATTATGGGTGAGTGGGTACCCATCAGTCATGACTTGTATGTCAACAGGATGGGAGTTTCTCAACCAGCCCTGCTGACTTCACGCAGAGGTGATGAAACCCCTGCAGGCACTTATTGCTGTTCAATTTGAGTAGAAACATGCACAAAGTATGTTAGGAATTGGAGTTCAACTGAGCTGAAAAGAGGCCTTGGCCTGCAAACAACCCAACCCATATCTTATTTTACGTCCTGTGAGCAGCATCTGGGAAGATGGTAGGTTTGCAAACAAGTGTTTCATCACCCTGACATCACACAGACAGTGCAGATGTCCCTGTCTGAGCCCAAAAAGCCCTCTGTAGGAAATGGGCATTTCGAGTTGAGAATCAGTCATCATTCCCTTAGGAAGAGAAACACTGTACCCTTGGAAGAGCCAGTGAAGTCCATTGCCTATGAAGGAGAGGTTTCTCTTGGGTGGAGACCTGCCCCGCTGGCATCTCATTTTGCCCTAGATAGAGAGCATTTTCCTCTTAACTTATATAAAAGCCAGAGCAGTTTAGACATAAAAGCCTGAATTCCGGCATGAAGGTTGTCACCTAAGACAGCCCAGTTAAAACATTTGGCCTTGGTGTTTACTCTGGATGGGACAAAGGGTGTGTTCACATCTGCAAAGGCCTCCACTGGAGGATTCTCTGTTTTGGATGCACTCATCCCACACCACCCCTGACTTCTGCACATGTGCTAAACTCAGGTCTGGCTGCATAGGG